CACACGCACACACACACACACACACTATATTAATAAAAAAGTATAATTTAATCCACATCGCATGTTGTGAGAGCTTATCATTTTCTGAGGGCTTCTAACTTTCAAATTATAATAAAAAAAAACTATATTGCAAATTTATTTTTTGTTTTGTTGTAATTCCTAATGTAACATAGTTCAAAATATAGTGTATTCTGTTGTTTCAAACTATGTATTTGTTTTAGATAATACCGGGTTTATTGAAACCAATATACAAAAAATTAAAATATTAATGTAAATTAAATTAAAAACATTATTAATAGATATTTGTAATTATTTTGGTTTACATTTAAAACATAAAAATTATTTAATAATATTTTATAGTATTTTAATATATGTTATAAATATTAATGTATAATGTTAATTATAAAATTATTTAAATTATTTTCAAAATTTTTTAAAATTTAATTGGAATTTAGTTCATTTGTAATATTTTATAGTCACTTATTTTTTTATTTTTTGTCTTATTTCTACAGTTATTAAAAAATTATAACTTTTCATCTATTTTATAATACATTTGAGTAGAATATCTAATATTTATCATAGTTTATTATAATTAATATATTAAAGAATCCTGAATGTCAATATACACTCCTTAAATTCAATATTTGAAATATTCAAATTGGGATTTGTTAAATAATACAAGATACATTCAATAGTAGTTTTTTTGAGACATGAATTTATAAATTAGTAACAGCAAAAGTCTATATAAATTTTGTATAATCTTTTGAAATAAATAGTAATAATACAAAAATAATTGATAGGTCATTAATTCTAGTTATTTTTAAAAAGTAATTCCGTTTGAAGATTTATATATATAATAATTACTTTATCATTCATAGTAGTCATATATATATATTGAATATTCAGCTGATTGTATGGATATAGTTTTATATGTACAATGGCTATGAATGTATAATTTCATATGGGTTGTCTACAAATGTCGAGAACAAATCGCATTTATTATTTCTTCATTTCTCTCTTGTATAGATTTCGAGGACACAATCTTTATTAACAGATAAAAATAATTATATATATATCAAGGCAAGTTCTGATATATTATTGATACTTCAAATAAAACACGGTTTATTTATTTTAATGAAAAAGTAAAATTTTTAGGAACAAAATATTGTTTTAATTGCAAAAATTCTATAATAACACTATTATCAGAATATATATACATATATATATATATATATATATCAGAAAAAAGTCCTTTCAATTTTAAGAAAAATATTTAAAATCGTAAAATTATATTAATAATATAGCTTTATCTGTTCCAGTCTTCTATTCACAAAGTTATAATACATGTTCATTTAGATTTTTCAATTTCGTAAAATATTGTGTAAAAAAAATTTCTATGACAAATAATGTCACACTGATAATGTTGGCTCGTGTAATAATTTTTAAGAATGTACATATTAAAAATACTATCGTTTCAATTTATTGAACGGTTTGGGCGTTCCAAGAAAATGCAAATAAGGCACACCCTTATTACAGAAATTATTCCGAAATGATGATTAGGAGAAAATGTGATCAAGCAAATTGTTAGTATTTTAGTGACGCGTTCAGCTTTGCTGATAATGCGGGTGATAAAAGAGAAAAGAAATGACGCACGAATAGCAAAACTATAAATATCGAACAAAATATAAATATCAATTTACGTAATTTTTCAAACTTGATTTCACCATAGAGGAATAATTTACTTATTGTTTTTAATATATTAATTCATTGCAGGCAAAATATTGTCAACGATTGTCATAGAAGTATCAATAAAAAAAAAAAAATAAAAATATATTATAAATAAATTATCAATAAAAACTGAAAATAATCTAAAAGACGTCATTATTATTTGTATTTTCGGAAAAGAGATATTTATAAACTATGATAAATAACAAAATATATTTATAAAATTTGTTAAGTTGATTACGGCAATTTAATATAAAAGAATTTGAAGGCTGAATTTCTCAGATAAGTAATCAATATAAAGCCACTAGGGCTCATTGAAAAATTTAGTCGAAGGTAAAAGGGAGTACAAGATATAGAGAAATACAGCGAAGTAATAACGAAAGGGAATTACTATTTGAGCTGAGTTTTAGTGTAATATATTTCACATTTTGGTATTAATTATTTTAAGAATACAGAATTCCCTCACAGCACATATTATAGAGAGATGAATAGAATTTCTATTTAACACCTGAAATCGTATTCTAGTAATTGTAATTAAAATAATTAAAAAATTAATTAAATTATCAATAATATTTAGATTATTTTATTTCACATTTGTTTAATACAATAAAAATATCTCAAGAATTCGAATAAGCGACAAAAATTTATTGAATTTGCATATATACCAACAAAGTGATACGTAACCTAAACTTTTATATTTAAATAAACGAATTTGTGATTTTTGACTTTATTGAATATAATAAATTCTTCGAAGCATCATATTATTTCATCTATTTTATTTTATTTATTTATTTTTTGTTTCAACTAAAAACAGACAACTCAAAAAGTTGTATAACTTTCAGTACAGAAGCCGTAATATTCACGTAAAAGACTTTAAGTAACTTTTAACGGAATCAACTCTCTAACATGCGACTATATAATTGAGGCTTACGTAGTCTATATATGGACTACAATGGAAATTCCTATTAAATTATTAACTTATCGTCTATTTTGATAAGTGTCAAATAATTGATAGGAAACTGTTGTTATAAATTTAATAGTAAATGGAAATATTTTATTTTCATAATAAAGAAATTACTTTCTGTAATATAATTCTATTTTTTTTTTTAATAAAAAATTCAGGTTATTTTAGAAAATAAGAAATTTTAAGCTATATTTCAAATTTTGTTTAAAAATATCTACAAAGTGTTTCATTAAATTAGCATCGTACGAATTGAAAGATATCACTGATCAATCTCTCTGAAATTGTATATAAAGAGCGATTTTCACACGATAATCATCGTTTCTATTTAGTAATGACTATTAGAAGCCATTAGGTAAAAATTTTTTATTACAACAAGGGAGTCGAGGTCAAGGTCAGCAGCAGCAGCAGCATCAAGTGAAACAAATTTCCGTGGTAAATTATGTTTGGTAGATCTCTTGCTTATTTATACCGTCTAGTGTATATATATATACATATATATATATATATATATATATATATAATATGTCTCTCATCATATAGTTTTGCGAAAAAAGGCAATGTCAATAGCTTCGATAGCTCCGTAAATTTTGGTTTTCGATTCGTAACGATTCTCAATGCTTTTCTTAGTCGCTTTTTACCGTTCTAACTTTCACCCTTCCTAATCTTTCGTTTCAACACTGGCAATATGTTTACCTAGTAAAGGAAACAAATTGGATGACGCACGAGACAAAAGTAAAAAATAACCATGCGCTTAGATGGCGCACTTCAGGTATCTAAATCTTACTCGAATAAACAGTTTAAATAAAAATTTAGCTTATTTAAAAATTATTAAAATAATTTTCAAAATAATATAATAATAATATTAATGTAGTATTATATATATATATATATATATATATACTCAATATGTATAATATTATTTAATTAAAAAAGAACCCCATATTTGAATTATATTTAAATTATTTTAAAAATCAACTATTATTGAAATAATTTTTATATTAAAAATCAATAATAAATAGTGTAGATAATGTTATTTAAAATTTCGGTTAATTATAATAAATAAATTAATATATTATCTTAAGACTATTTCATTAAGGAAAAAAATACTACCGACTGTTACATTACAAATTGATTGATATTTAATTAATAAAAATGTAAAAGCTCTTAGCATTATTTTTTAAACTGTATCAATTATAAATTAAACTCTATAAATACAAATATATTATAGATAAAGTGAAGCAAAGATTATTATAATAAATAATTATCATTTTACTTTATTATTTTGTATTGTGCTTTTAATATTTTTAGTATCGCAGCTAGGATACGATGAAATCGATAAAAAGTCTTGTAAAGAAATATTAGTGCAAATATTTTTTCTTAGTTAAGAAAGATACCTACATGCTTTACATTAAGTTATTAATTGAAAATGTTCATTATCCCATCTATTTGAGCTATTTTTACTCCATTATGCTGAATGCTAGTAATCAATATAGTAATTTAATATTTTTACTGTACACAACACGATCAGACTTCAAATGTGGATTCATCACGTAAAAAACAAAATTACTTTGACTCGGAAACTCGCATGAAAATACTTGGCACAGAAAATAAAGACCCTACACCCACACCCTACTAACTACGACATTTACATCTGTGTAAGTACGGTTTATTTCGACTCCTTGATTAATTCAATGAAAATGAAAATATGTAAATGAAAAATAGATAATATGTATAATATTTACAACTGAAATATAATTCATCATATTGATTTATTTTTAAATTCTTTTATTAAACAAAATCTGAGTTACAATATTTATTTATTGTTATATATATATAGATTGACATAGATTTTTATTTATTGTATTTTTAGCATGTTATTTTATAATTGTCTAATGTTATATAAAAATTATTTTAAAGATTCTATAGATGCTTTTAAATTATATATAATAAATAGAATATTATAACTGGTTCTCGAAACCCAATCGTTGAGCCTAGATTGCACCACTTACTGGTATTTGCGATATAGATGTAGCATTTTATTTTTTAAATAAACTTTCAATGAATCAACTTATTTTCAAATTTGAAGAAAGAATAATTAAAACGGAATTTGATTATAACATAATTTAATTTTCAAAGTTACTCATGAACAGTCACTATTATGATTATTATTCATTTTCTTTCGTCAATTTTCAAATTTAACATGTTTTAATACTACAAAATAATTTGTTTACAGAATGTATTTTGCCAGTAATAGTTTCATTCTTAATGATCATACATATAACTATTTATTTTTACATACATCCAATTTTCTGTAATAATATATAGAATAAACCTATACTAAACTGTAATGGAAGCTTCCGACATTGTTTGATATTTCTTAGAAAAATAAATAATTAAAGTTGTTAAATTAAACTCATGCACAAACGAAAATATTAAATTAATATTATGATTTTATATTATAAAAGATTATAAATTTTGACTCTTACAAAGTATTAGACTAAAATACTTATTTTCAATGAATTTTACAATTTTTTTTTATAAGAAAAAATTTATCATTATTTAATATATAAAGAATATATAAAGAACAATAGATAAGATATAGATAATTATAGGTATATGGGCAAATAATGAAGAATTTATTAAATAATTTTTAAAATTATCATATATTTTTATTTTGCAGTATATTTTGGAATATTCAATTTTATTTATAAAAGTCACATAAACTTTTCTAAAGCTTAACATAAATCCGCTTTTAAGAGGTATAAAACTATTTAATAGGCTAAGCGTTAATCTTTCACTTGAGGTATATCGTATTAGATATAGTTTGTTCTGTTTGTTGCGAAATTGTAATTCATATGTAATGTGAACGTTTGCATGGGTAATTCCGGTTATGCATTTATTATTCAGAAGTGTAAAATAATAAATAAATTGAGTTTTCTTATAGTATTTTTCGCTTCGAAATAATACTTTATCATATTGAATCATTGAATACAACGTTCATTAAATGATTCATAATATATAATTCTTTTAATTAATAGAAATATTAATTTATGCGCGTAGAAAACTTTTAATTGGGATATATCATTTAAAGAAATTTTTTGTTAAAATTCTACGGGATTAATACTACGACATAATTGTATACATATTACAAAATCTATAGATTAAAGATTAAGATTAAGGACATAAATAATTCCATAAATATTAATCAGTATTGAAATACAATTTTGAGACTACCAGAATATTTGTAATATAAAAATTGTAATATATTGCCTTCTCAGATATTGATTATTATAATGTTCTTATACAAAATGAAACTACATATATATATAAATAAATAAATATTCTATAAAAAAATTTCAAATGGAGACAGTCAATTATCTTACTCACGACTTGTTAATAAAAAGGACTTTTTCCAATCAAAATGTGATATCGATATGAACAATTTGCTCGTAGTGTGCGGATCGAAAGATACCTGTTGCAGTGTTCTGAGGGTATATATCATGGAACCATTTTTACATTTTTATTTCAGATTCCTGTATTCATTTTTCTTGAGTTTCACATTTATATGAGTATTATAAATTTAACCTGTTATATTTGAAAAAAAAACCTATTCCCCTGTATTCTAATACTGTAACTGTACCATGTAATTATATTCACGTGTGTAATTTTTAATTTTACATACTTTTGTTGAGTTGAATAGTTAACTTATATGAAAGTAATAATCTCGAGATCGATTTTATTAATATTTTTGTTTATTCAAATTATATATGTAATACTTTAAAGTCTATTTATTAATGTATGTAATTAAATATTGTGAATGAAATATCTTCGGATTTCAATTGATCTTAATCGTTATAATAAAATTATAAAATAACTTAAATAAATAATAAATCTTTTTCTTGGAGATTGAAATATATCTTATATACAAAAACTATTTCATTCAAAATTAGCAGTCGATTCTCAAAAAAATTTCATACGCTTACTTTGAAATGATTTACAGAAAGAAATATAAGAGTAAAAGAGCTTAGAGTAAAAATATTTTAAATTTGAAGGATATCTGTATGTTTCACGCAATGCGTGAGGGAGAATCTTTATCGCTCAGGGATCTGTGAAGTTACGGTTCATGAATTCACGTACCAAGTCGGTATTTATTCAGGACCGTAGCAATCAATAAAAGAGATAGTCAGTATTTAGCGCTGGCGCACAGCTTCATGAACTAAAATTCCATATCAGTACTTGAACAAAAATTGATGAAACAGGATATATAAATAATAATATATATATATATATATATATATCCTTAATTATGTTTACTAGGATTTAAATGCTTTAGATAATCTAATTAACATATTAAAATAAAATTACATAAATATAATAAACATTATTAAATTTTTATTTGATGTATACAGAAATTGATGAGCCTAACGCGACATTTTATGATTAAAATTAATAGTGTTTTATTATCTTAGTTTTTTAAATTATTATATATTATATGCATGTATTTATAAATATATAAAATATATCTTTATAAATTTGCTTTTCTGCAAAACACTAATAGAAAATACATTTGGAGATATAATGAAAAACTTCAACATTATGCTTTGTACAATATTTTCTACATTTGTATATTAATAACATTTATTTTCACGTATTTAGTTTTGAAGGATCTTATCTAAGTTTATTCTCCATTTATTCAATTGTTTTTTAATTGATATGTATAAAACACAGCTAAAACGATAATATAAATGTTACTAAAATAATAAAAGCTAATACATTCATAGTATATATATTGTTCACTTTCTTTGAATAAATTTGTACATTTTTATTTGTTCAAGTACTTTAAATGTATATATTACATATTAAATTCTAAATTATTTTATTCATGATCATTATTATATAATTATATTTTCGAATTATTCTAGATAATATAATTACTTTTTGGTATTTAATATATCTAAATGAATAAAAAAAAAGTTGATATCTATGAATTCCAAGTAATTTTATGACAATCGATATAGTATTTACGTCTATACATTAAAATAGTTTGTAAATTTGTTTTCTATCCGTAAAATACTCAGTAATGTCTGTAATTAATATATAAAACATATATTTAAAATAACTAGCCTAAAGCTCATACGACTTACTACTTTAGTAATCCCCCAGACCACATAGTCTACAAAAACGTAAATTCTAATAATGGACACTTAATGATTTTAAAAGTATCTAATTATTTTGTGGATTCAATACTATATATGTATACATATACATATAATTTAATCAATTCAAATTAATATAAGGAAAAAATAATAAAAATTAATACGCTAGAAATTTTATTAATAATTTAATAATATCTATGAATAAATAAGAATTGAATGGCATGAAAGAATTTGAAGAAATGAAATTGTATAGTAAATTTTCTGTCATAGCTTAGTAACTTCTTCAATTTAAATGTAGATATTATTATTAAAGTAAGAGAAATATGTTTCTTTCTGTTTCAGAATATCACGATTAAAATTCAGCAAACAACTTTTTAAAATATGCCAATCTTAAAAACACCAAGTTGATATATTTTCTTCCTAACATAAAATAAATAAGTAAAATAATGACTTCTTTCAATATAAAATAGTTTAGTTTTACAAATATTTTGTTTTCTAATAAAAATTATAAAGTCTTGATAAGTTCTAGAAAAGAAAGTGTATTATATAAAGTACATGGATGGGCTGTAATTATTTTTATTCACATATGATTTTCGCATCATAACAATGCAAAAAATATTAATTATAAATAAAACTTATATAATATTACTTATACTTACATGTAAGATGAAAAATTAATATAAAATATAATAAATATATAAATAGATTTATATGATGTAGTCAAGATTATATTAAAATATTTATTATAAGAGAGAGATATTAAATAACTTATGAAACATTCCGAAACACAAATGATTGAGTATGGCAGAAGAATTTTCATTTGTAAAAGTAAGGACATATCGGAATGTTATTTAGTAATTATTTATTTTCATAATTAATATAATATAGAGCCACGTTATAATAAACTATAAGTTCAGTAATATTATTTAAAATTATTTGGATTGAAATAATTTTATAAATTACTGTTAGTTTCTTTTAATGTTAAAGAGCTAAACAATATCTACTATCGGATTAAATGTAATCCAATTATAAGATTTTAATATACTTTCATTTTTCTTATGTATTAATTCATTATATATGAATAATATTAATATTAAATAATAATATAAATATGAATATATTTATTATGAAATTTTTTTATCGTAGCGTTTGTTGTATTAAGCAATTGTCGAAAAATAATAGGGAATAAAATATGCCTTTTTTATAATATAAGTTAAAAATACATACATTTGAAAGTTAATTACTTTACGTGATATAGGTTGATAAGAATATTTTTTTTTATCAATGCTAATAAAATAATCATATATGTGTATTTTGTACTTACTTCTATGTCCTTTTTCAATCACGACATCTTTTCGAAGTATAATTTTCTTCTTTGAATTTGGTCTGGTCACTAAAAGTAAAACAGAAATTTGATTATATATCATTTAATAAATTATTAATATAAATAATATCTTAAATTTACTCTTAAAATTAAAAGAATATTTTTAAATGGTTTAAGTAAAAAAATTTAAAGGAACGCAGACGAGTGTAAACACGCATATGTATAAATAGAGAGAAAGAATTCATCAAGAATTTAAGATTCCTTTATTATGAAATTTATTTACTAATTTACATATAACGATAGATTTTAACTTTTTATTATTATCTATGTTCTTTGCAAAATAATAAATCCGTAAAAATGATTTATGTTTAAAAACTTTTAAATATGTTAATATTTAAATATTAATTTTTAATATATTTATATTAATATATTAATAATCAAGAATTTTCGATTTTTATTAATTTTCGAAAATATTAAATAAATTGTTTGTTTAATAATTACTATAATAATTGATAAATAGGCATAACTATTCTGTGAATAGAAAATTTTTTTATATGTAAAAATTCACTAAATAAAGAAAGAAATAATTAGAAGATAGGAATTATTGCAGAAATTGATTCCGTATCCATACAAGATGGAACCAAATGCTGCAGTAATTAATCTTTGTCTTTACCCTCACTGTAATTTAACATTTACATAGGCAAACAGATAATTCTCTAATGTAATTGGACAAATGGGCGTGGATTCACTAAGATCTCTGTACTAGTCACTCAAAGGCAAACGAGCACAAATATCGGAATAAAAATCCACTATACTCATCCATGTATTGATTTTGTCCACACATCAGTCAATCCAAAACATTTGGGTGATATATTAATAATCACAAAATAGTACAATAGTGATGCTGTATTTTAAATAAGTAATGTTTTATTACTTTTATAATGCTATCGTACTATTACTTTAGCAATAAGAATATAAGTAAGATAATTTTAAACTTATCATTACTTGTTGTAATCTCTGCTGGATTATTAACCTGCATAGTTTATTTTATCTAGCCCTGTGTTACTAAATCTGTGCTAAAATGATAATATTCGTTACGAAACAAACTCCATTGGGCTTGTAAAATTTATTGCTTTCTTTAGATTAATGATATTCATCACTCGATTTAATTTCATTAGATCGACTATTGTAAGTCAATACGGTCCTATGGCCTGTGACAACAAATAACTTTTTGGTCTCCCTTTCGCCATGTTTTCATAAGTCTTGTCTGAGAGGTCTCTGCTTTAGCAATCTCATGTTCTATGCTAAAGGATAATTTATTAGGTTGTCAGTAATTTGTGCGACATATCCCTGAGCACAGCTGACTATCCGTCGTCTTCTGTTCTATTTGGGATAGTAAATCTAATTGTTAGATTTGTGGTTACATAAGACTTCATTGGTGTCACTGTAACTAATAATGGATAAATCGATGTATAAAATAATATAAAATTTTACTGAACTACGTGCAATGGAAAATTTCATTCACTCAGAAAATTAATAATTATCAATAATTTCGGCTAATATTATAATCTATGTTTTCAAATTCTGTCAATAAAAAGATTTGATTGCCTAGAAATAGCAATACTTTATATTTATATTAAAAACTTTTTATTTATCTAGATGAGTAATTTACAATAATTATGATAAGTAATTTTCTACAAATTGATTATATTTTAGTCTTTTTGCCTGTCAGTATGCATAATATATTAAATGATTTAAGTACTAATATAAAGCATTAGTAGTACGTGCTATAAACTCACAAATAGAATTTCCAATCTAAATTTGTATATATTTTATTATTATCAAATTTATATTTAACTTTTTATTAAATTATTTCAATTATGAAAATTATTTTCAATTCGTTTAATGTCATTAATCTAAGTGTTCATATATTTTTAATGTAATTATTTTAGTACATACATAATTTTATTCATCTTTGAATAACTTATTTAATACAAAATTACGTTGATAGAGATTTTTTCGGAAATATTTTATCTAAATAAATGCACTCAAAAATACAAACGTATAGTTACTAAAAAAAATTTGTAGACAGCTTTTGTTCACAGCCGATCAAGCACAACGGTGATTTTATCCATGAAAAACTTCATTTTACTTATATACCTGTTTCAAAGATTTTTTTGAAGCTTATTTCTTTATTTATAAATAGTTTTTTTCTACTTTTGCTCTCAGTTTATTTTATCCTTTTGCTTTTAGCTTATTTTATACTTTCAGTAAACTATAATTGATGTCAAATATAAACTTTGTAACAATGTTAGTTTTACTTCGGTATTTTTCTTTATATCTAAGAAATTTAGTATTGATAGTATTTATATAAATAAGATATTTTTAATAAATAAATATAATAACCATTATAATTAGTAAATAAAAGTTTGGTATATTCTACTAGTAATATTCGAATATATGAAAATATGTTTAAAGCAGTATAATCTATTGATACATTTTGAAAGAACTTAGCATTAATATTTAGAACATATAGAGAATTATTAATTTAATAAAATTTCTGTAAATTAGTCTATTAATATAATTAATATATATATATGTGCGTGCATCATATAAAATTTACATTTGAAAGATTATATTAATTATACTAAGTATACTAATGATATGAATTATATTAATTATATTATATATATATATATATATATTTATGAAATAATTTTAAAAAGTTAAATTTAATCACTTGAACTTCATAAAGGGTTTACTAGAATATAAACAAAAAAACATTAAAATTTTGAATGTTACGAATGTTATTGTCATAGATTATTTAACTCATAGATAAGGTTGGATAAGACTATTTAAGTCCTAAATAAGATTGGAAAATGTAAAATGCCGCAGTGCGAGCCACAGCACCTAAGAAAATCAGTTTTCATATAGACACGTTCCGTAGGGCAATCGATTTACGCTTCATTTTGCGCCGAAATAATTTCACTTACGTCACCTTTTGGTGCTGCTGTCGTTTTCTGTTTCTAATTAAAGTTTCACCTTTAAAAGTATTGAATCATATATTGCCATAAATCTAGAAATTCTATCTACAAAAAAAATATAATCTACAAAAAAAAAAATTATTCCTAATAATCATTTTGTGAATTATAATTTTTTCAAATATTAATTATTAATCATGTGGCAAAACCTAAATTATATTATTTGAAAGGAAAGAGTTAAAATCAAATTAGTAGTTTTAATAATTAATGCGTGTAATGTGTTAATAAAATTTAATTATTAAATAATTTATTTATAAAATATCATTTATAATAAAAAAAAAAGATCTTATTTCATTCGTGTGTCCTTTTTTAAAATAAATATTTAAATTTCATTCCTCTTGCAACTACAATAAATAAAATAGAGATATCATATATAACAGTATTATTTACTCTGATTTTATAAACTATGCATTTCCAGTGTTTTTATATTGAATATTTTTTATTCATATAACTTGAAAATCCTTATTTCCTCAATTTTTTATTTATGTAAATAAATATAATCGATAATACAATTAATCATAATACATTAAATTATTTTATAAATAATTCCCAAAGTGAACATCCACACTTTGAGAAATGATCATTAGAAAATTTGTAGGCGAAAGAATTTATGTCCTTAATTATTAAGATAGTTATATGAGTAAATGGCATAAACGATTCCAGAAATACAGAGATCTCGATTTTGGACATAGAAGTATATATAAATATTATATGATACCCTAAGAAAAATTATAAAATTAGCAAGAACTATATTCCTTTGCAATAAATATATTTACTTTAATTTGATTTTTAATTATTTTCAAATATTAATCATCTAATCTTAATTAATATTTTCTTCAATTAAATATATTAATGTAAATCTTAACTAAATGCGAAAAAGAAAAAAGTAATAATGATTGCCTTGATATTTTTATATATATTTTTATATATTTGTTTATAATATTTTGAATGAGATTTATTTTATTATTATTTCGTACAAAAAAATGGAGAAGTCTGTACTCACACATTTCGCAGTCAACATCATGTATGACTATCTTGATACCTTCACCATCGGCTAAACTTCCCTGTCGCGCAAGTTCACGTTCGTCAACGTTTACTCGGGATACAGAACATGAGTTTGTTGGTCCAGGACGTACCGGAGCTGCAGCATTATTTGAGAAAGCCCTTATGGCATTGATGTTTGGTCTATAAATAAACAATTCAATTTGTAATTTGATTAATTGAGCAGAAAAATAAATATAAATAACAGAAAAATTGTATAATAATATAATTTGAAAAGAATATTTAATATGCCTTTTATAATTTAATATCGCGAATAAAATATTACTTATTATAATAAATTTACTACCAAATTACAAAAGTAAGATAAAGGGAGGGGGATTTAAGAAACTGATAAGTATTTATATCACTTGGGATGTGTTAAGAGATAAGTTTACTTCTCGTTTCTCATTTTACTGAATGTTTACTATCAATCAAGAAACTTTCTTCGAAATCTAGGCAGATAATAATATTTAACATATTCAGCAATAGACAACATCACTATATATTTTATTTACAAAAATTATATTTTAATATTTTTGACTTTTTTTGTAAATATTAATATTTAATTTTTGGCATTTGATTATAATACACACACACACACACACACACACACACACACACACACACACACACACAAAATAATTCACAGAATAAAGCACATACATTTCATTAAATAGTAAACGTAAGTTTACTCATTACATTTACAAAATTAAGGATATAATAATTAAAAAGTTATTATATTTCTTATATTATGAGAGTTAAATTAAAAATAGAAATTTAAGCTTTTGGAGTATCCGCGATCAATAATATTACATGTACAATAATAATATATTTATGTTATTTTTTAAATAGTAGATTAGATAGTTTTGTTCACATTTAACATAATTTATAATTAATTACATCATTTTTAGTTTCACAATTGTAAATGGAGATAAGACTTGTGCATTAAAACACTTTATAGAACTTAAGTAATAACTGACTTTTGGTTCATTTATTCCTATGTATGAATTTATACAATTTCAATATTTTGTTGTCTATTTTAAAATTAATCTGCTTATTACTCCTAATATCTACACAAATAAAAATGTCATAGCATAAACATGCGAATTATCGTTCAATGGCTTCGAATTATTATTTTTTCTTATATTCATATGTTATATCGATATGATATACTTCATAGACTATTTTTTTTTTTTTTAAATGTCTGTATGCATAGTTAAGTAGCATTTATAATATATTAGTTTAATTTATAACATATAAATGGTACATAAATGAATTATACAATAACGCAATGTTAGATTATTTAAATATACAAAAAAAAAAAAAAAAAAAAAATTGATGAATAAATTATACATCATTCATGAACATTTTGAATATTATGTTATACAATCTCATTTAGATATACAAAATTTATATAATACCTTATGTATAATAAGATTTATTTACCCTCAGAGTCGAAGAATTCAATTAGTTATTAATAGATTTTAGTAAATGTATGGAATTTGAAAAATACATCTGAAATAATTTCCATATAATGAATCTATTTCAAAATCTAGTTTTTTCATGATTCTAGAAAATTGCAATTTGCTTCTTATATAACTGTGTATTCTTTAAAATATAGGTGTTGAAAATTTTAGATACATAAAAAGTATGATGAATAACTATATAGCGTATATTTATTAAATAAGTTTCAAAGAATACCATTTATTCTGTAGTATTAATAAAATTCTAAAATATATTCTTTATTATTTTTTATTTTTAATTCAATGACGACCTATATACATCTAAATCAAAATAACTTTTAATAAATGTTTACGAAATGAATTCATATTCATTCTAATAAAAAAAACCAATGAATATAATAACAATCATTATAAAATATCCTTAATAAAGTTTATATATAAATTTTTAATAATATTTTCTAAAAATTTATCTCGGCAATGTATGTAGGATCAATTTAACTTTTATTTCATATTAATAGACAAATTAAATTTGCCAGTATTAGTTTATAATTATTTTATCAAATTATTTAAGTTTTATCATTAATTTCTTATGCACATATTTTACTAAAAATGACGCTTACCTTAAAATTCCTATTTAATAATATTGTTAAATTTTTTAATATATTCAACATTAAATACACAAATGGCTGTTTTCATAAAAATTTATGTATAGCATTTACATTGTTATTTATGTAACTATTTCTACATCCTTTAATACGTATATATTATAAATATTTTAAAATAGATATATATATATATATATATATATATACATATATATATTATACACTAAGTAAAAACAATATCACGAAATAATGTAGAGAAAAGTAATTGTATACTTACAGTTGAGAGCCACGTCGTCGTGTACGTAATTCTTCATCAGGCATAAGGATGCCCTGATCAACGTCTGCAGCTCGTGATCCATCTGCATTGATTATTTTATCATCATCTTTCGTGCTGGAAATTTCATAAGGTATCACAGGTTTGTTGGTGCGAAATGATGGTCGTCTAGAGGATGATGTAGGTTGACGTTCGGATTCTGATTCTCGGTTACCTGGATGAATGAGAAATTTTTCATTTGCCAACAAGCGATCTAGCATCATTTTAAACTTTAAATTCATTTTCAACAAACAGTCTAATGGCCTTTAGCTTGTCAATAAAAGAAACATTTCTTATTTAATTACATATGATCATCGGATTGTTTTAAATTTATGTTATATAAAATTGAAATTAAAATTGTTAAGTTAACTGTTCTGATGTATTTATTTTTAAATGGCATGCTAAATTCTTCTTTTACACTAGCTGATATCCTGATATCCTGATGTATTATATATTATTATATTGATCTTTATATCAATTGATATCTCGTGTAAATGACATTAATTAAATGAGCCATATAAGCCTCTATAAGTGATAACAACATTTTTTTTCTCTAATAATTAATAACCTTGACCAGATATTGAAACTCGATGTTGGGGTGCAATGATGGCCGCTAGATCAGAAACACCACCGCCTGAATATACATCATAGGCCGAGGCACGCCTTGCTAGTTGTATTGGAAGCCCTAATCCTATATCCGAATGGCTTGCGTGACCGGATGATGTTGACGATGTTATTCCTGCGTTCTTGATTTCATCGTCATATGAGTGCTGACGCGTCACTCTAGACTTGCGACGCACAGTGCCGCCGGATCGACGTGAACGATGACGTCGTTCCTCCTCCTCATCTATATCTATACCTGTGTTATCTTGATCTGTAATATACACGTTTATTCGATCACCAAATAAATGTACAATAAAGAAATACTAAAGATTTACTAGTAATACGGTTATTGGAATATTTGATTATTTTCATTCTAATAAACTGCCGGTAATATAAAATTTTGAATAGCTAACGGTTTTCAATTGACATTTTCCCAATAGTACGAAATTGTGTTTCCTATTTATTAAAATCATTTTCATACTATATTTCAATTCTGATTCAGAGACCCTTTACATGCTAAACTATTTTTTGAAAATTGAATGAAGAAACTTTATAATGTTAATGAAAAAATTACTTTAAAGATAACAATTATTTAAATTTATGATAACAATATTTATATATTATATACAAGAAATTTAACTTTACGTTTAACGTTACGTTCCAACATTTTTTATTTAAATTTGTACATTTTTTTAAGCATATACACACATTATAAAATAAGTTATTTTTATATAAATTATATTGATTATTAATTAATTGGATAAATTATACATAGTTATACATGTTATTTATTAGATAATTAAGTGGCATTGATACAATTCAACGTGTTCCATTGCAATTAATATTTATAAGTATACTTCTTTGATTCTTGGATATACGGTAAGAATACGAACAAATAAAACATGTGATTCCTACATTCATTAATTTATTCAATTTCATTTTAACAATTATTATGTAGATATAAATATACGCCATCGCACTCCAATGCATATACATTAATTTATATGTTTTATTATATTTATATTAGAATGTAATTATCTAAATACAATACTTAAAACCATATTTTGAAGGTTTTTTTAATTAAAATATTTCAATTTAGTTACAAATGTGTTAATTTCTTTAGACTGTACTAAACTATAATAAACAATGACTGTATAATGGTGGATTTCTTTATTGTTATGTTTCACTTATTTTTAAGTATCGTATTATTCATCAAAGAGTTATAAGTTTAATATTTTCAATTATTACTCGGTATCTATTCAGTTATATATTATAATAATAAGTAAATAAATACTATATGTCTATTTATTTTGTTTAGCATCCAGTTTACTAATAAATGAAAAATGCATAAACGTTGCAATTTCAAAAGATTTTATAATTTCAACTTTTAAAATTAAAAATTTTATAGATTTTCTCACTTAATTATTCAGAAAAATTAGAAATCATTTTAAATATGTGGAGTTTAATATAAATATTAATGTACATAGTGTTGACTAGATTTTATACTATATTAAATAATATGAAAATGCCTTAATTTCAATATAATTTAAAGCTTATTACAAGTAATTCAAGGCACTTCATTCATTAAAACCTACAGTGTAATTTAAAATTTTTAATTATTCAGTTTTAAAATATAAATGAAAATATGATGACATAAGTGGAAGTGAATTGTTTATTAAAATAGCGATATCTTATTGAACAAAACATTTATTTAACAAAAGGAATCAATAAAATATCTATGAACGGAATGGATTTTTTTTCTCTAAACTTGTTTATCAAAATTATTCAAAAATGAGTCAATAGCACAAACATCAATATATTGTGAAAACATTCTTTTTCGATATTTTTATAAAATTCGTATTTTATAACAAAACATTCTTATCAATGGTAAATAATGTTCAATTAAAAAGGAAAATGAGTACTATTGAGAAAACGCTTACCAATAATCCCAGAAGACTTGATGATCCGCTGGGGACTGTTGACGCGTTGCCTCTCTCCTCCTCCACCCTGATCAGGATCTCGCTCACGTTGCTGATGCCCTTGATAGCGATCCGGTGAGCCGCTTCTCGATTTACTACGCCACTCCCAGTCCTCGCTGCGACGCTCCCCTGCAACCTTTCGAAACTGCGAATGTTACGTGGAGGTTAGGATTCTCAGGAAGGACACAGCGGCAACATGTAGGGGTTGAGCTAGCTGCGCAGCCACAAGAATTTTTATAATGCAGGAACAATTAATTTTAATTCACGTGTATGTGTGCACATGGCCAATTTTTTTTAGCATTGAGGGATCGAATCAGCCAAGCCGAAATATGCTGTGATTATATGATATATTTAAATTAATAAATGATAATCGCTGTTGTTATTTAACGAAAAATTGTGCTTTTACAAGAGACTGCTTTTCGACAGAAGCTCATTGTTTTTAACAAAATTTTGTACTATCCAATAATTAAATCTAGATATTTACTTTCATATAAGAGATTCGGAATTTTATTTGGAATTGTAAAATTTATCGAGATGCGTTTAGATAGTTTTAGAATTTATTCACAAATTATATATATATATGTATATATATATATATATATATATATAAATGGAATTGGATTCTTGACTGTAAGAGAATCTAATCTATAATAATCAAAAATCGAATGCCAATAGATATTAAATTTTTTCACATGTAGTATAATAAATTTCCTATAACAATTCAATTTTTAGCATAATATATCACGTCTAATTAAAATAGAATTTTATTTTTATGTAATATAGAGAAAAACATTAAATTATTTTTTATATGTTATATGTCAATTGCTCCTTTCGTTACCTAATGTAAAAATGATATTTTCTAGACTTTTTATTATTATTTTTATTTTTATTTTTATTATTTCTTTTGACTTATTGAAAAATTGTGTTCCATTATTTTAAATTCAAGTATTTTATTTGCTTTTATATTTGCCTATTTATAAATATTACTATATTATTTTTCATTTTACTTCATGTTAATACATTGTATATAAATTATTAAAGTCATTATAAGTAAAAAAAATGTTTTATGTTACATAAACGTTTGTTTTTTTCATTTGAAAGCAGACCACTTTATACTTTGTAGTTTGAATCCTTGAGAAATGTGGTACAAACGAATTAATATCGTATACTGTATAAATTTAAGCATGTGAACTTTCTTACCAATGTATACAAGAATGTATGTTGAACAATTCATGCTCACTACTATACATGCTCGCACGTGCAGTCATTTCGTTATTCTATGATGCACAACATTTTATTACGAACGTTCTACGTGCAGATTTACCGTGTTTAAACATCGGGTGTTATGAAATAATTGTAATATGAATTTAATTGATTTAACGTTTAAATATATCTTCATTATTAAAATATCCTCTATTTATATATTCGTTATAGTATTCTTATTTGTATGCTTACGCATGTATTTGATTATGCGAATGTGTAAACACATATGTTCATATATAAGCCATAGGAAGTTAAATTTCAGTTTTTCCACTTTTATGTGAGTAGAAATTGCATTGCTTAAATATTCATAAATTAATTTTATTTTGTCGTATTTACCTAATAATGTGATAATGTGAATAAATAATACTAATAAAATAATAGTAATAAAATGAAAGATTTATTATAATTTCGAAATATCTTATAACAGCATGGACGTCAAATGTTTAAATTGGGTAAGAAAGGTTTTTTATTGTTAAAATCAGGCATTTAATATTATAATTCGTCTTATGATTAATAGAAATTTTAAGAGGAATATTAATTTTGAATGAAAAATTTTTCTATCTACATTGTTTAATATCGAATTTGTTCAGTCATTTGAAATATCGTTAATACGAAGGATACTACATTTTTATAACCAGTTTTTGTAGATTATATTTTATGCCTTCAAACATCAGTTATAGTTTATGGCCCGAGATTTAGTCGAGAGACTCCTTTATTAAAGTAATACCTCGTTAAGTCATTGATATAATAAGATATAAATACTTTGACAAACTTTTGTATGATCTAATGCATATTAAAATGTAAAAACTTTTATTTCTAATAGCAAATTAATTTTCTTACTACTTTATGTTACTATACAAACTATATATTTTAAGCCATAACCAGATATAATGTAGAATTACTATATAGTTTTTATTTATTATGTAGTTTATTATATAAATATGTTTGTACAGCATATATATTTTTATCGATTCAAGTTCATACATGATTTATGTATTTATGTATGAAAATACGATCCCCTTCTCTGATCTCAAGAATTTGCATTTTAATGCTATACAGCAATATTACAGAAAGTCTTATATCATTTTATTCATAGGGTAGTATTCTATCTACAACTCACTTTCTCTTCGTAATATATTTTCGGTTGATCGCCGAAATTGAAGCAGTGAGACATTTCATATTTCTACTCTAAAAACTGAAAAATTCGTTGTATATGTAAAGATGTGAGAATAACATCTGAACAGCGAATATGATTACATCTTGTTTCTTACGTTTACCTTCTTGGGATTTTAAATAAAATAAAAGCATTTCCTTTTCAGACATTACGTAAAGTCCTTAGTATTCAAATTACTAACGACAAATCAAATTTTATGTCCGATTATTAGATAATTTATCGATTGTTACTTATTATAAATTCTGTTTTCCATTAATTTTCTGTTCGTAGTTTCCAAATACAGACTGTGTAATTTAATGAAGTTCTTCTTCCAACAAAATATAATTATAATTATATTTCTAAATAAATATAAGAAAAAATTATAATGCAATTTTTAAAAACATGGAAAAATAATTGTATTTGAAATCTTTAAGAAAATTTATGCATTTTTATTAAATACAACATAATTAAACAAGAGAAATAAGTATCAAGCATATAGAATTATATATTTAATGTATAGTCAATTTTAAATTAAAAAAGGCATAGAGAAAACAAAGAAAAAACTAAATTAAAAATAATACCATTCAATTACTTATTAATATTAATACAATTCTAAGAAAATAAACATGTACAACCATATTTAATATAATAATTCTACTTAAATCTATAATCTATAATGAGAAATGAAAAATAATATAAGATTTTAGCTTAGATTAAGATGCTTTAAAATTTAACTTAATATCAATAGGCATAGAAACGAATATATTTTTGCAATAATTCATACGCATAACCTGTTAATATGGAAATATTTACATAATACACGTTCAAATACGTTTTTACATGTATTTATGAACAGATATTCTATTATACATTTTTTATAACGTTACAGTTCATGTTTCCAAAACGAAACGTTTGATAAATTCAGTTGAGAGGCAATTAAATAAATTAGGCTATTACCTATTGAATGAAGCAATAAGAAAACTTTTATAATGTATATACTAAATAATCTTCATTTACAAGTATTTATAATTATGATAATTACGATTTCCTTCAATATTTTGTAAAATCAATAAATAGCAGATATCGTCTGTGGTGCGATATACATGAATGTTTAGAAAAACAAATTCGATCTCTTATGGCTTCTAATTGATAAGTAGTACATACTTATATTAGTTTATAATTCTTTTTTCAAACTGCATATGGCATTGCTATAATAGCGAAGGAAAATAAATTAACATAAAAAGTATTTATATTCTTTGATTAAACTTTAAATATAAATTTACATAAAAAAAATGGAATAATATAAATGTTAGTGCTATCAACGTATAGAGAAACAAAAATATTTATGAAAAATTCTATCTGTTAATCCATGAAATCGATAGAAAGTGTGACATTATCTATAAAAACTTAAAAAATTTGAAAATTTTATAAATTTAAATATGACTAAATTTAAAAATTTAGATAAAGATTTAGAGAGAAAAAATTATTGTACATTTAAAAATTTACTATAATGATTTAAAAGTTATAGAGCTCAACACTTTTTATACAGAATGAAGTGTAAAATTAAAAAACGAATAATAGTTTAAATATAAATTGAATTTTAATAACTATTTATATAAATCATACATACATTATATTGAAAAAAATTTTTTTTTAAATAATATTAATAACTACAAATGCCAATTATATTATAATAAATATTTCAAAATAAAATTATCTTATAATTCTATAGATAAAGATCGAAATATCTAACAAGAATCGAAAATTAAAAATAAGAAAACAAAAATTAAAAATAATCAATCCTGCTCATTTATAAATTATATAAATTCTAATCTTTAAAGTGATATTAAAACATGCAAATTATTGAATATAAATGGTAAAAATGTGTAAATAAATATTAAAATAGTAATTCAGCTATTTTAAATACGAATAATTCACTATTTTTATTGGGATTATTTATTGGTATTTAATTATATAAATATAATAAAATATTATATGCATATTATAAAGTTCAATTAATGGTACATTTTTGTATATATTTCATAATTGAAAGCGATAATTTATTTATTAATTTTGTTAGTTGTATATCTTATGTTTTATTACGAGTTAGTTTAAACGAAGCTTAACTCAATTATTCATTAATTATAAAAATATATCTTAAAAATTTTTCATAAAATAATTTTTTATGTAATTTTCACATAAAAATAGTATTATCACATACAAAATAGTATTTCACATCTATACGTGCAAATTTGTCCATTTGTACGTGGTATTAATAGTAGTCCGATAATCCTCTCTGTTATTCGGATCTTCATTAAAAGCGGAATTCCTCCCACCTCTTATCAATTTAGTCTGCCCATTTTGAAAGAATTTATTCGGAATACCGTCCTTCTAAGCCTTGGTAATATGATTCATTAAACTATATTAATTATTCAACGATAATAATTGGTAATTAGTTAGTATATTAAGTAATGGTTGAATGTCGAAAAATTCATAGCATTTGATTGTTAATTTGTGCCAATACATGATACATTAATATTACTTCATGACTTTCTAAAAATTATGCTTCCTCTACTAACTAATATAGATATTTTATTTTAATTTTAAGTTAAATTTAAGTTAAATTTTGCACATTTCTACTTTTCATATCCTAAAAAATATTCAAAGATAATTTATATAGAATTAATATTTTTTAAAATATGGTATATTTAAGGAAGGAAATTTTATAATGTAAATACTCGTTTATTAAAATATTTTTTAAACTATTAATAATATAGTTGTGAAATATTTAAATATAATAATTTCATTTTGTTTTTTTTATTTTTTATTTAGTTAAGCGAAGAGTCAATTCGAGTGATCATTTGAGATATATTGAACTTGGACGGACATATTAATCAGAAAAACTGAAAATTAAGTTTCAACGTTAATGCCGCATCGTTTATTCGTCCTTTTTCTTTTGCTCCTGTTACTCATAAAGGAATATCACACGATAAGTATTCATTACACTGTTTACGGGAAACGACAGAAAAGAAAGAGTAATGGAAAGAAGAAAAAATTGAATAAAGTAAAGAGAGAGAGAGGGAGAGAGAGGGAGAGAGAGGGAGAGAGGGAGGGAGAAGGTGATTCAGTCGAATCGATGGCGTCGAAATCAGTGTTTACTAAAAATTTATCCGTCGCATGTTTCAACCCTTCGCCGGAAGATTATGAAGATGCTATTTTATCATATATTTGAAGAAACAATTTGCATTGGTGTGCTACTCTTGCCAGCCGCACATTATGCAAAACGTATAATAAGTGTTCTTTATAGAGTGACAAAATCTCTAATCTCTTTCATAAAGGTCTATGACTGTCGGGCTTCAAGATAGATTTTGCAGCTATTTTCTTCAAAATAAAGAAATTTAATATGAATTTATTCTCTAAGAAAATTTATAATTCAGAGATCTATTTTATATTCTATTGAAAATAATTTTGAAGATTATCAAATATTTCATTATGATTTAATCTACGAATTACAAAAGTAGCAATTATCGCAATAAGTTTGTATATTCACGACTGTCATACGATGTATGTATTGTATATGATGTATAATTGTAATATGATGTATTATATATACATATACATATTATACATACAGTTTCATGGAATCGTGCTATTAAACAGATATATACAGCCAAAATAATGAATGGAGATTGTGGTTTCGGACAACCGTACCTTCTCTAAATCCTTGAGACTAGCCGGTGAAACATCCGAATGTCGTCTAAGATCGGGGCTCCTTGGTGGTACAAGGCCAGCACCAAGTGAGCCTGATGGTCCTATTGCCTGAGAGCCAAGACGCGCATCACTATGACGTCTCTGCAGGCCTTCGAGCATTGGAACTTCCAATGAACTTTCTATTAAATCAGTTCCAATAGGTAGTTGATCGCGTGGTGTTAACTTACGTCGGCATACACTACATCGCCACGTTTGCTAAAAAAGTAATCGATATTATTTACTTTATTCTTATTAATTTAAATCTAATATAAATATTTTAACTTTATAAAAGATTACAAAATTTATGCTAGATGACACATTCATGCGTTCTCGGAAAAAGTAACTAACTTCATGCAAATTGCTTTTATATTAAATATTGCATAAAGGTGATTTCGTACTCTAAAATAAACTTTTATACGAAGTACATAAAAATTCAGAAGACAATGATATTATGTACTCGAAGAGTACTAAATATAATAAAAATAGTTCAGAAATATATCTTGTTAGGTGAAAATATGAAATACCTTTTATAATTCATTTGAAAAATGTTGGTACATTTTTTAAATCTTAAATTCTAATTTTAGTGAAATATTAATAAATGTACTACACGAGCATGTAAGTACAGTGAAATTATTAAAAAATTTTAAACGTATAAAACTCAGGAGAGTGTAGTTATTAAAAAAAAAAAAAAAAAAAAAAAAAAAAAAAATGTATCAAGCAGTATGAAAGCACATTATACAGAATTTCAATTTAGCAGTATGAAAGCACATTATACAGAATTTCAATTTTTTTTATTTCGCTTATTATTATTGTTATGCTAATATCGTATAGAAGTAATTACAGGATCATCGGAGTCGGCAGTTGTTGAATAAGAAGCACAGTCTTCGCACACCTTTCGCTGACACTCGTAGCAAATCCTTGTGAAGTCCTCTGGTTTAATAGACTTTATACATACTCTACAAGCCGCCGCACGATTTACTGGTTTTTCTTGCTCTGCTTTTCTGCAGGATGTTTAAAAGCACGAGTATCACTGTGATTAATATATATATATATATATATATATATATATGAATTCCATAATTTAATATTTTCTCTCCGGCGAGTACTATGTAACAGTGACACGCGATTAAAACAAATTATTGTTCCTTTTCAACACTTGGAAGCTTTTCATTAATATTTATCATATGATAAAAAAATATCTTTTTTAATTGAAGGAAAAATGACTTTTAATAAATAAAATTTTTTTTATCTCTTATTTAAATAGAGGATTGACGTTGTTAAAAATGTTTTAATGATGAAATTGACAATAACAAAAAATAGCTATTTGATAAGAAATATTTTAATATAATGATAAGAAAAATTTTATATCGTATATATTTTTTTAATTACTACAATAAGAATTTTTTATATAAAAAATTTTTTTTTATATAAAAGATATTGAACATCAAAAATTAAGGTAAATATTTTAATGAATTAAGTTTAATGAAGTAAGAATTAGTGCTAATACTCGGAAATAATTATGTTGTAGTTGAAACTTTTCTACCTAATCATGTTTTAATACAATAAATTTCACTAAATACAATTTTCATATAATTTTTATTTTAACAAAATAAAATATTGTGGCATTATTGTAACATATTTTCTTTTTCAAAGTCGTCAAAGTAATAAGATTCTTTTTGATTATTTATAAAAATTTTAACTATATTATATTATTATATTATATGTTAACAATAATTTTAACTACAGATAAAATACTTCTATGAATTAGAAATTATATTTACAGTTCAAATAATATAGCAGTATATAGTTTAATTGATCAACAGTTGATCTTACACTTTAGGAAGCTCAATTATGGGTGCGGTTTCTTTATACTGGATATTCTCCACAGGCGTAACCTTGGCTGGTGTTAGCTTGGCTACTAAAACAGGTAAAACACGAAAGAGAAATGAAAAAAAAATTTTACAGACAAAAAGATCAAGAAAATGTTAACTTCAATTCAGTGAGATACATAAGTGCTTATTAATTTTAAGAATCAATTTATTGTAATAGCAAACAAGTTAGACAGTTAATTACGTTAAATAAAAATGTTGATTTCATTTAATTCAATTCAAAATTATTAAATTTAATGCTTTTGGAATAAAGTATTGAGATTCCTATTGTCAAAACATAATAATTGTTTCGTAATTTGAAAATCAATATTACTTAAAATTTTTCACAAAGGTTTAGAAATCTATAAATTTTCTTATGCTGCCAATTTCTATTTATTAATAGTAATTATTTTCTTCCTCCGATTCTAAAGTACAATTCATCTATTATGAATTTTTAACGGAGAATAATTGAAATATAATTGAAAGCCTTTTGTAACAGAATTGCTCCTTATTTCATTTCAGTTACAATAATTCATGAATTCGTTTAAAAATTAAAATACTGATGCTTATATTAGCCAATTAGACAATTTATTTAAAAATTAATATTCATATTTTTAGATAGTAGTTTTGTACTTAATTTTAATTATTCTAGATAATTATTTATCCTAATTTTTTAAATAAAATTAATTATTTTGCCATGTATCCTCAATTCTATATACTTTTTTCTATAATATAAATATAATGTATAGTTTGCTGTATAAAATGAATATATCTAATGTGTAAACATTAAATAATTTTTTTTTTTTATAATTCACCGTACTCTAATTTTATTATTAATCCAATTATACTACATTCAATCTATTTTACAAACTGAATAAATCACTATATTAAAAAATATTATTTATTATCGTTATATCAGTTTAGAAAAATTTTATTTTCAATATTGATGAACGTACAATTGATATCTATGGATATCAAAATCTACACACACTGATGGATCATATTGGTGTTAGTAAAACAGGAGATGGCTATACTTTCTATGCATTATATTACATCTTTGGTACAAGAGGCAGAAAAAAAATTGATTAATCTCAAACAAGTTCTTCCTATTCTCTCTCAGTATAAAAAAGTAAATCATTCCACGAAAACCATACCAACGGCTTGGAAACGTTGAACCAAATTAAAACAAGAATGCATTGTTATAAATTTATTCTACGATTCATTTCTATCTCATAAAGTTAATAATTAAATATGAATATATTGTCTTAAAATAAAAATAAAACATTTATGGTAATCTATTATTGCACAATGAGATATTTTTTATTTACATTTCGAATTCTTCTATTTAATTCATTATTTATTTCTGTCGTATACAAAAGGAAATATTGTACTGTTTCTTAAATATTGAAATATTCATATATGCATTTTGCGAGGTTAAGTTTTTTTTCTTCTACACTTATATAATGAATCGATGTCAAAAGCCTTTCATCTATCTCAATCGTTTTTAAATGAGCACATGTCAATAGTTTATAGGTATATCACATTCTGGTTCCCTTCGTTTTACAATAAAGCTAAAATTTGTTAAATATTCTCCTAAAAGCACGGAACGAATTCTTAGAATAGGAAAATACAACAGAATTAGAAGAATATCATTTTACATTTATTGCTATTGTATTTTAGTATACTTGAACCAGTATTGACGTATTGTTAATTTAACTTTACGTACGTTCTTTAAAAATGTAATGAAAATACTGAAACACACACAAAGATATTTTCATTTTCCAAATGATATATAAAAATATTTAAAATATCTATTCTAGAAAATTTTGTTAATATACTTAGAATTATTATTCTTTATTTATTGGGAAGATTATGTATATTTTTATTACTTTATGACTTATTAAATGATATATTATTCTGACTAGTCATTATTAATTCAATACAGTTTTTTTATTATTTTAATTTGAAGTAAAACGATAAATAAGTTATGATAATAGACCTTTTCTAAATACGCAATTTTTAACGAATGTTGAAAATATTTTATAGAATTTATATATACCAAATAAGCCATAGAAGTCTAAATGTATTACATTATTTATAGTACAGCTTCATTAAATGTAATATATGCTCTTTTTATATGTAATTATATTTATGCTTAAGCTATTAAAATTATATAATTTACAATTATGAAATAATGAACATCATAGTTAGATATTTCAGCATGTAAAAGATCAAGCATTTCAATCTCAAAAGATTATCAAATTATTAAAATTAAAAAAATAAATTGTAATAGATACTAATCATAAAAATATTTATAAGACAACAGTAATTAATTCTTACCGTTGCCAGTAGCTGTCATAAGGTCCGTACCAATTTGTCTAAGTTTGCTAAAAGTTCGTCCGCCATCTTCTGATGTCGCTGTACTAGAATTGGCCTCTGGTTGTGTTGTAACCATCTATAATTAAAAGAAAAATTTAATCGTTAAAAGGGTTAAGTTGATTAAATTAATTGAAGCGATTTATTTAATTATATTTTAATGCATATAAATATTTAGAATGTAAATTATTGAAAATAAAAATTTTGAAATTATTAATTTATATGAGTTTTTTCGATTATTGGTGCCTGAACATAGCTAAGTAGCTTATGCTGTTCATATATAAATTAAGATATCGGTAAATGTTTCTTGTTGTAGAAATCAAATACTTAATAATATTCTCTTATCAATAATTCGATAGAAATTTATTTAAGCAATTTATATGATAATATATTGTAAACGAGCTATGATGTAAAAAAGAAATTTATTTAAATCAGTAACGTAGATTAATCGACAGATTGCTTGACCTTTTGTTCTATTACTATCAAGTATATTCTACTACCTTAGCTCAAATATAAATTAATTAACTTGCCCTTCTACTAGTACCATTGTATTATCAATAGGTTCATAACAGTGTAGTTTAATTATTTGATTCGTAGGTTATGAGCTACTACACCACAAACACTAATTGCACTAAAATTTTAATTTGTATGCGTTCCTTAGTGTTGCTAATGTGAGAAACAAGAAAAGTTCATAAATAGCCTTAAAAATCAAATTAGTTATCTTATTAAAATTGAGTATCATTTATATTAAATATTGACCATATACATAAACTCATTCAATCGACTCAACTATTATTATTTCCAAAAAGCTTAAATAGTATGATTCAGTAAGAATTAGGGTATATGCTAACGTATAATGTTTTATAATGTTTTCAGTAAGTATCATACAAAATAGAATGATAAACATTGTAGTAATGTTATATTAGGATAAAAAAGGAATAGAGAAGAAAGAAAGAAATATTAAGTAGAATGAAACCTGTGCAATGACAAGTGGTTGGGCAATGGCTTTGCGAAGTAAAAATAATACGAAGGAAAGTCAGTTGAAAGCATGACAATATTATTTAAAGAGTCAGGCACGACATATGTTTTTCTATAAAATATTGTTATTAATATTAATGATTTTATATTGTCGTAATAATAACTAAAGGTATCAATAAAATTTTTTCTCTATAACTAGACAATCAACCATAGAAAGTATAATTTTTTAAAAGAGTGTAAACACAATTTTAATGGGTAATTAATGTTATAATGCAATTGTTGGAGATTATTCATATAATTGTACTGATTATGATTGATATATATGAAATTATGACTTTTTTTTATTAAATTATAATATTGTAACATTAATACCTTTTCTTAATATAATTTACATGTCTTTCATCCTGATATTAATTTTTTCAAATATTTTATTAAAAATCTAGCTACATGAAATATTATTTTCATTTTATATTTTCTTTCATTATCAAATTTTTTTTAATTCTTTACTTTTGTTACTACTAATATCCAGTTCTATATATTTTTATTAGATATTAAAATTTATTCTGGTTTTTCATTTTATTTAATTAAAGCTTCAAGACATTAATTTAGTACATATGCTATTTTAGATTATGTCTTTCTCTAATCAATCTTTTAATTTATTTCTATGCTTTCTTTATCCCACATTCTACTTTTTTCATTTCCATATAATATTATATATAATTTTTTATATTTAAACTTTTCACCTTCTTTTCTTCTCGTCATACATCTTTATTATATACTATATATCTTACAACTTCTGTTATGCGTTCTTGTGCTCTCTTATTTAAATTTCATTGGTAATGCATATTCTTTCATATTTTCATTATTGAAGCTGTAACACATCCATTATTCTATTATTTGTATTATTGCCTTTGTTTTCTTAATAATTTCATTCGTTAGAGTTTTATTCTTATATTTGAATCATATATTTTTTTTAAATTCTCTTGTTTTTCTTTTTTAACACATATAACATGGTACTTTATTTCTTTACAACTTTTATTTAATTATTTTTTCATTGTTATTTTTTCTTATAATTCGACATTATATACAAAAATTATTTTTATTTCAGCAATTAAGTTTTACAATTTTTAACTTAGATTTTTTTTATTCTGCTTTCTTCTTTCATTCTTATTTGTATATTAATAATACTGTGTTATAATTGTAGATATTTTTTTTCTGAATCCAATGAAGCATTCTTTAAATATCGTATTATTAATTCTACGCCTACGACTAACAGTTTTTTTTTTGTTTTAGAAATTTTTCTACATTTTCCTACCCAATAATTTTTAATTAGCACTTTATCAATAAAAACAAACGAAACTATCGTAATTTGTTACAGTTAATCTTGCATTAAATAGCCTTAATTATGGCTAGTAGCGTCTGACGACAGTGTTTGGAATTTGTAATGAGTCAGTAAGAAAATAAAAAAAATTTTTTTTTTCAATTGTATGTTTATATTTTATTCTCTGTTTTTAAAACATAAATAAGGTTTCTATTGTTGTTTATTAATTTTGATTTCAAATTATCCTCAAATTATCATTTTTTTTCCCCCAATTTTTTATGTTGTTTTTCTTTTTATTTCGCATTTTTACTTTCCATTATTTTTTCAATCACAGTATTGATATATTTTTCTTCTTTCTATATTTTTTATATTGCATAAATTTTATTTTATTTCATTTGAACTCATTTCCATTTAAATAAACTAAAATTATGTAGGTGGTTTAGTGATTCATAATAGTTTTTGATAATTATTATCAGCTAAATTCTTATCATATTTCTGTATTTTTTTTTACTTGCCCCGTGTATATATAGTTTCTATTTTGAATAGAAAACTTTATAGAAAAATTTGTTTCTATTAAGAAACATTTTTTATTTATTACGCTTTTATAAAATTTTTCTCACAGTTGTTTATATCTCATTTAACTCAAGTAATTGTCCTTTGTTTACCATACACTTAATTTGTTATTAAGCACACAATATCATTTTTAATGAAAGTGTATTATTACTTTACTTTATAAATATTTATAAATATTTTTCTTGTAATTTCTGTGTGGTATAATCAAATTATAATAAAATTCTTTTGATTATTCATTTACAAAAATTCGCTTTTATGAAACATTTCTCAATTATTTATGAAATATTCTTTGAAGATTATCATATTTTAAAAACTATTAATTTATATAATTTTACATGGCAAATTTTCAATTATTTTGTTTGCTATTATATTTTTCACTTACTTATTTACAATAATCATCTTTATAATATTATATTTTAACCGTGTATTTGTACGATTACACATGTATACTCTAATTTTACCTTTCATTTTAAATATGCAAAAGTTTTCAAAATTAGTTTTCTATTTCTCTCATTATATTTATCTCCCAGTTTCCTTTTACACGATGTATGAAAGAAATCATTCTTTAATTTTCTATCTAATTCGTCAAAAATTGAATGGATATAAAAGTTTAGAAGTAAGTTGATGAATAATTTTAATCATTGGGTAGTTAAAAAAATCTTTTCTTCTATTAATATTATTAAATACTTACAATATTCTATTTTGAAAAAAAAAAATTTTTTTTGTGAGAAAAAATTGAGTTTTTATTTTAAATCAGATAAGTCAATATGAATGCATAATATTAACATGAATTTATATTGTATAGTTCTGAAATTAGTTACTGAAATAAGCTTTTCAAGTATAAAAAAATTTACTTTTGTTTCTATTAAAATAATCAATGCAAATGAAACAAGTAGAAATAAGATATCGTTCAATTAATTGAATGTACAAACAATACTTACTTAAATATTATATGAATAAAAATAAAACATTTTATCACGTTACAATAGAGGAAATAATGAAGGAATTTATGGAGCGGAATTGAGATTATTTTTCTGAAAGCAAATAAAATTTAAAAAGCTTGTCTAAATTAAAAAAATAATTGAAATGATCAAATTATAGAATGAAGTTAATAAAGAAAAATATCACATTTAAACCTTTGAAAGTAAATATACACGGAGTGGAAAAACCAAAATATTATAGGTAGAATAATTATAAGAATATAATGCAATAATAATAAAAAGTGAAGAAATAAATACACTATTCCAGGTATAAAAAATGAATCAGATCTTTAATTATGGTTCAGTAGAATATATCTACAATTATTATAATTACACAATAATTGAAAATAGGATAATTGAAAATAGGATAGTTGGAAATAGAATAATTTCAATTTCTTCCAATTAAAAGTATAACATATATATTAATGAATAATATTAATGAATTATTAATATATTAATGAATAATCTATACAGAATATTAGATATTCTATTAAATAAACTTATATATTAACCTAGTCAATTATTTATTTATGTTCTGAAAATTTAATTTATGACATTAATAGTAGAAATTATTACCAATAATATTTGAAGTACTTACATCAATATTATAGTTTTTATCTCATGAATATTTCTGAAAGTATATTCTTTTTTTATATCTATCGTAATTTTCTACAAGTAAATGTACATCCCTAATGAAAAATAATGTATCTCTAGAAATACGTAAATGTAAGAGAAGCTAAAAGAAATAATAATCGAGTATCAATTAGTGTATATAATAGGTAATTGCAGAGTACAAAAGCGTCCGAAACAAAAGTTGTGAATATGAGCATTTTCATTACTTAGAGTAGTTGATACTGAATTGGTATTAGTGTTTGAAAGGTAACAGTAGATAATACTAGAAGTATACTTAATTACTTAATTACTTAATTAATAAATGATATTTTTATGCATACGTATGTAGAGAGAGAGAGAGAGAGAGAGAGAATACCATTTAGTATTTTTATATTATATTATTGCTTATTTAAAAGTTATTTATTATTTCATTATATTATTATATTATTACATAATTTTTATATTAATAAGCATTTGATTGAATATTTGTAAACTAAAAGGTAATAAGACATAACGTCACAATTATACTTTGACTTTTATGAAACAATGTTGGAAAATTTTTTTTCAACTACATTTCCTAATTTATAAATTCAAAATAACCATAGATCCATTTGTAAAAATCTTTGTTGAAAATCTGACATTTTTTTACACGCTTATAACCTAATGATTCTCATCTCTAGTTACCTTAATTACCGAAAACTCACCAGTATAAAAGAACCGTTATAAATTAATAAAAAAATTTTAAACTATTATAATTATTATAAAACTTATTAGCTCTCATACATAAACTCATAAGCTATTGGTAAATAATTGTTATAGTATACCCTATCAAAATAAAATTTATTATTATAAAACTCCACTAAAAACTTACAATTGTAAAAATAAATCATAAAATAATTTTTAAAAATATATGAAATATTGTGGACCAGATTTTGCAGCAATAAATGGACTAACATAAAGTTCAATTAATGAAATAAAATTTACAAAATAAAATTACTTTTATTCGATTTCAATCTAAGAAAATATTAATTTCATTTAAAGTACTTCAAATAGATTGAAAAAAAATTTTAAGAATTTTTTTTTTAATATACATGTGACATAACAGTATATATTGAATAAAAAATATTTTATTTTACTTTATTGAGTCTCTCAAAAAGTACGATTTATTTTTGATGTCAATAGTGTACGTAAACGTTTTATTTTTATTCTGTTATAAAAGAAGATTTATGATTTAAAATAGAAAGTAAATATAGTGTTAAGAACGACATATAATCAAAAACTTACAATCACGACGGTCGTAAAAAGTCTTCCTTGAAACTCTATAAATTTCATTCAGAACGTTATTCCACGAACTACTTTCATGAAGCAATATTGTGTATATATTTTAATGCTGAATATCTTAGATTCAGTATAATAATAGCACGAAAAATATTTAATGTAATTTTTTTAATTAAGCACAATTATTCTAAATTATAGTTTTTAGTTAAATATTTTTTTAATATATTTTAGATTATTTTCTTAATAAATTATGAGATATATAGTGTTACATTAATTTGACATTCTAGTAATTCAGCGACACTAGTCTATATTATAATATAGTCCTCATTAAAAAACAGATTAGATAAAATTAATCAACCAATTAAGAAATGTAGAATGGAATTGATTTTATTCAAAATTGAAAAGAATTGAAATTGATAATTCACACGATGAAACTTTGTACCTAAAAAGTATTTCGATATTTTATAAGTATAATTGAAATTTTATTGTTATTATATAAATGCGTAAAAGTAATTTCACGTTACGAATAGTGAAATAATAATCTATGCATATATATGTACTACATATAATTATGAAAAATTTATATATATAATATTTCTAAAAATAATAAATGCAATGTTTAGTAAAAATTTTATTATTCTTATATGAACTATAAACGTTAATAAAGTATCGACAATATTATCGACAATTTATTTTTAAACATGAAAAGTTATATTTAATATTTTAAAAAATGTGTACAATCATTTTTATTCTAATTATTTAATATGCAAGTACATATTCCGTTTATTGTATAATGTGTATGAATAACTTTTATTTTAGATCACTTTATCATACGTCTATTTTATTGAAATATATATATATATATATTATAATGCATATAAGTACATATATACTTTCGGAGGTGTTAATGTACATTTAACCATGTATAATAAAATAAATAAAATAATAGTTAAATGTATATTTGATATGATATTATTAAAATATTGAATTTAATACATGAATATATAATTCTAAGTATTATAATAAATGAACCTCAGAGTCGTTTCACTTTCAGTAACAAATAAAAAGATATGTTATACTGGAATGTTCATTTGCTATTTTGTAGTGGAATTAAGCTTAGAAGTTTCCATATGTATCAAATAAATCGAAGCGTACTAATAGCAATTGAAAGGGAGAAGTGGCAGAAAAAAATCGAATAAAATAAACGAAGACCAAGTATACGAAGATGGAAATAAGAAAAAGAGGATAAAGAAGTTTCTTTACTGAATACATCTTCGGTCAGGGTCAAGACGTCAGCAGCACAAGGGCATAACGATGCAATTTCTGGTGCGCGCGTGTATCCACGATATCATGCGCAATTCATTTTATGGTTCATGTAATAATAATCGCAACCCTTATTTTCGTCTAACCTGTATCTATAAACTTAAAAATACAATCCATTTTACTCATTTAAGATTAATGATTTTAAATTTTTATGCCTATTTTTTAAAATTAACTACTATCTAAGAAACTACTATCCAAGTAAAAATTTATATGGACACATATTAATATTCAACTTAATTTTTTTATATTATATTTCTTTATAATGATTATTATATATATTATTGAATATTACTAGAATTTGTATTTTACTAGAACTTATATCAGCTATTTATAATTATATTTGGTGTAATAACATAATTGAGAAATCATATATATATATATGCTTCACCGTATATTGTTTAAATGTACCGTGTACTGTTAACGCATAAATGTTTGTAATTGAACGAAAAATTTAAACTACGGCTTTATTTCTAAACTCAACGTAAAAAAAATATTATCATTATCCATTATATTTTAAACATTATTATAAATGTTTTTCCAAATAAGATTATTAATAAGAATTATTATTACGGATTAACGAAATATATAACAATTAAAGGCATCTAGAACTTATTCAAAGACTATAGTTGTAGTTAAAAATGTAAAATTAAATTTGCATCTCTTGAATTGCTTAAAATAATATAAAATTTTTATTTATTGTATTGTAAGTGATTTCCTTTATAATTAAGCCATTTACTACATACATTGATTAGCATATTTATTAGATAATACTTATTGGCTTATACTTTTATACGATAATAATTAATTGGAATTAATTTAAAAAACAAATAATTAATATTCCAAGTTCACAGAAGAGATTTAATCGAATTTATACTAAATCAGTAATACACGGATTTATATTACCTAATATGAAATATTTCAAACAATAGTAAGAATAAAGTAGTAGGATAACAAGTAAATGTACCTTCTTAACGAAGGACATTACGTTGGTTGGCAGCATATTGGTGGTTTTGTTTTAAATTCCTTGCCTTTGCAGTCTTTTACAAATACTCTCGTTGTACACTATTGCCGATGGCTCAAGAATATGCCAGCAACTAGAAATTTCTTTGCTTCTTATTAAAATTTCACATGGCATCTGCAATCCATGAAGATCCGAACACACAGCTGCTTTCTTTTACGTTGCGGAATAAAGAACAACTACTGCTTGGCTGACAAGCCAAGCTTTTGGAGGACAGCATGCCTATGATGACCAATTTTACGTATTTATTTTATTAATTCTTCTTCATAGCCTTGTCATTTATAATCTGCCCTTACCCGATGTGTATAATATTATTTTAATGGATTTTGTGATCTTGGAAAAGCTTGTAGATTGATCTCTGAAAAAAAAACGAAGAGTTATAAATATTAAAATATATTTGTGACACTATATATATATATATATATATATATATATATATATATATATATGATCATATATTTTTTACGTAAATAATTTAATTAAAATAAATTTATTTAGGAAATCTACATTATCTATAATGAAACAATAATTTATATACGGATATTGCTTATTTGCTTTCGCCAAACAAAACTTTAGGCCTTAAATGCTTTTCTGCTATTATTAATGTTTTAACTTTGCTATAACTGATTTGAATTATTATAATGTTAATTATTAATGTGAAAGTAAATATTTATGTCTCATTTAGCGTATAGTAAAAGAGAAAATATTATCAGAATATTTGTGCATGTAGATGAAATTAATTTATATTGAATGGTTGAAAAATATATTAAATGTATTCAATTATATAAACGAAAGATAATTATTGATATACTAGCATAGTTCTTCCTGTTAATATTGTTTACAAATAAGGATGTAAAAGTAATTGAGAATTTGTAAATCTATTCCTAAAAATTCTGAAACGCAATTATAATTAAATAATAACTGTAAAAATTTAAGAATTATTTATAGAATAAATTATATATATATATATATATATATATATATAGATAGATAGAATATATATTAATTATATATAGAATAGAAATAAACAAGAAAGAAGTTTCAAATATACTAAATGTTCTATAGCTTAACTGAGAATATAGTTTTAGCAACTTCAATAATATTCCTTAATGTGATATAATTAGTCAAATTGATTAACCGATGATGTAAAATAGGTAATATACCAATTGTATAAAATCGATTTCAAATTGGTAAATTTTAAAATTTTATAAAATGTTTTAATGCGGTATTAAAAGAAGTAGTAATAATATTATTGAATCATCTGTAAGTTTCGATATAAGTCTATTATCATTACAAAATTTTAGATGAGAGAATAAAAATAAAATCATGGTAAAACTAAGCTAATATAGTAATACGGTCGAGTAATCTTATTTGAGATAGAGTAACCCAATCATTGTAGTATAACTAGACAACATTTTAAAAATAAATTAAAATAAACGAAAATGAATAAAATTTTAATATACAATTTAGAAAATGAATTCTTTGTTGTTTTTTAAGTCCAAACAGTAAGTACAATCATTTACTTCACTAGTTAATAAATAAAAAATTTTATAATATGAATTTAGGTGGAACAAACAGACAAATAAGAACTTTTACGAAAAGTATAAAGTAAAACAATATTAAATAAAGTTTTAATAATCATTAATTTTGTATGAAACGAAATTAAATAGAAAAATATATGTTTTTTTTTTTGCTACAGTAAAATTACAGATATATATATATATATATATATATATATATATATATATATGTAGTAATATAATTAATAAATCAGAAGTAAATCTTTTGACAAATAATAAATATTTCACTCAAACTTTAAATAAAATAAAGTAATTTTCTATAAAATTGTAAGTATTAAAATAGAATAACAAATAAAAAATGTATCTGGGATTCATAATATCTTAAATGATAAATTATATTTAAAATTTTATAATTTCATTATAATGAAAATCTATAAGCCTTATAAATTTAGATATTTATATACATACATAGATTTTGTCATATTTTAGAAATTTTTTAAAACAATTTGGTAATTGAAATATTAAGATTCTTTTCATTTCAATTATTATTATTTCAAGAATCGTAATGACAATATGTGTAATATCGATATATATGTGTATATATGTGTAATATCGATAGATATGTGTATATATGTGTAATATCGATGAATTTTTATATGGTTTAATTTATAAAATTTATGACGACATTATGTATTTATGGAATGTCCCAGTAAGTTAAACTTTCATAATTTTATTACCTTCTTAATTAACATTTATTATTAGAAGGTAAGCTACATTTTAATTATATAACTGATAACATTATAATGAGTAAAGTTAAGTGCATATTTACAATCTATAACAGTACCGGCATGTTTATGATGTTTATTAAGTCTTGTATTGTATGTATATATAAATTGTATCAAAATTGTGTAAACTGATATATAAAATAGTAATAAATCAATTATGTACAAGTTCATTCTTACGATGGCAAAAAATTTAGTAAAGTTTACTAACATTTATATATGAAATAAATATTCAAAATCTCGTAAATGCTTAAATAATTTTATTTTTATTTTTCTTTTAATTCCCGTTAGTAAAGAAGAATGCTCCATAAGAATAGTTCAAAATTTTTATGCTCAATTAGTGTCTTATATTTTAATAGAATAGTGTATAATTTAATTAGTTAATAATAAACTTAAACAATTTTGTCTTTTAATTGTATGCAGAAGGGGAAGCAAATAATAAGATTGCACACCATAATTTATGTTACAAAAAGCTATTAAATATTGACTATAGAAAAAAATACATTTATTTATGTTCCATCACTAGCATTTATAAATAACAATAAATTCATAACAATATATTGATTTACTAGAAAAAATTTAGTTTTTTATCATATATTATATATTTAAACAAATGATTTGTTAAAATATGTTTATTCTTTTATAGTTCTATACTCAATAGTAAATACGTAACTGTTATTTTACTTAAATAACTACGATGTACAATGTAATAAACATAATATACAAATGTAATTATTTAAACATTATATAATGTAAGTAAACTATACTAATTATTTAAACAATATATGTAAATAATTTTTTTTACATTTCTACCAAGCCTGAAGAACTTTTTATATTGAAATTCTACATTATGAATACATGTAAATATTAAGAGAAATATTAATAATTATAATCTAAATTGTTAATTTAAAAAATTTTACTGTTTCGTTTTATTGTTCATAAACTGAATGTTTATGTACAATAAGCTAAAGAAGCATTAAAATCATTCAACATTATTGTAAGCTTAAAGGTGTAGTGGTGGCGCTGGCTAGATAATGGCTGCCACCTGTAGCTATTGATCGTGAAAGCAAATCTGAGTTCACTTTCTATCGGTATGACCCTACGAATTCTCGTTTCCTCAGTTTCAAAGTATTATATCAACGAGAAACTAATAACCCACATTTATATATGTTAGGATTTTTGTCTATTAGTGATATTGGCAATATTTTGACAAATTATAATGATACCTGATTTGATATATATTTTGATTAAGATATTTTATAATACCTTGATATATCTATTTTATTATACATACTCTATTCAACAACTTCAATCCTATGGTTGATCCTTCAGATCCTACGGTTCAATATTAAATAATAATTTTTTAATTTTCTTTACTATATTCGTATTCGTATGTGTTGAATCGTAGTCGTATGTGTGCTTTTGATTATATAGATGTTAAATTCAAAGTGGATAAATAATAAAAGAATGATTATTAGAAGAATTCTTAATATTCTCAAAATATGCTTTACAATAGTCAATAATATATTTACATAAATTTGTGAAAGAATTAAAAATTAGCAAAAATAGAAATTTATTGTATACTCCAAAAAATATGATGATTATATGATTATTAAATCACATGGTGATTGAAAAAAAAATGCATAATTTATGCATATATATTTAAAATTATATAATAAATTGATATATGATATTCTTATGAATACATTTTGTCTAATGCAATATATTTAGTATAAATAATATTAATTTAATATATATATATAATATGATATAAAATATTTTTGATCAAAATAATAAGAGATTAAAAAATTTTTAATTTTTAAAATTCATAAATGTAAATATTGACGTTTTTTTAAAAATATTTTATCGATCAATCATTTATTTATGAGATATAATATAATATTTATCTAGAAATAAGTACAGATATGAATATGATTAATTTCTAAAAAAAATTATTTATAATTGTCCATTTATTTTTTATATTGATATTTATTTAATTCTCAAATGTTTATTTAAATTTCTAATAAATGTATTTCAAACTAATTGCCTCAATAATTTATATTTAAAATTACTGTGAAGCTAATATTTATAAATTTTAAATATTTTGAAAAATAATATATTGCATGTAATGATCTTATTTAAGTATATTTTTGTTCTAAATATTCAGAAATTATAAATTTAAAACTTCCTAAAGTACATGCTTGCATAACTAGTATAACGCGGCTATTGTACAAAAAAATTCTTACAATTTCAAGTACTAAATACTTCAGAAAGAATATATATTTATGTCACTTTTATGAAAGTAGTAAATAAAAAATTACTTTAAAATACTTCAAACCATTTTCTATACTTCCACAAGTAGATCTTCAATTCTTAAAATAATATACAACAGTAATTGACACAATAATTTATAAGAGTATGAAAATATATGATTTATATAAGAATTAATATATTTAACAATATTTCTTTAATCAAGTGACGTGTATATTATTTTTCTATTTTTATTTTAAGTTTTAATTTTATTTCAGAAAAAAAATCATTTGTAATAATACTATGAATTATAAGATGTTAATCATTGATATCTAAAATGTACTAATAAAAATGAAAATTTAATATTTATAAACCTTATTAAAATAACACATATTATTGAGTTGAAAACATCATTTAAAATATACTTAATGAAATTCAACATTTTCATGCAAATTTTTAAACCACCTCCATCGTTCTCTTACTATAATATATTTTTTAATTGCTCGTATTTTACTTCAAAACAAATGATTGCGTCGCAATAAATTTCTGTATAATTTTATAATTCCATTTTAATATTCTTTAAAATTTCATGCAATTTA